CTGGGCTCCATCTAGGTACCACCAAAACAGGGAAGGAAAAGAAGATCCCTCTGCACTTTCACCCACTTTCTCAGACCCAGAGGAGTCAGAGTTTCGCTTTAAGTTCCAGCACCCCTTCCCCTCCCCCCCTCCCCGGTCCAGGCCCTGCCCCCAGTCCTGAGGAGTTCCTGCCTGGCCCTCTCAGCTCAAATACCCAACTGGTATTTACCATCATTATGATGGCTGATTAACAAAAGGAAATTTTGCAAAAGAGCAGAGTTTCTTCAGATAGCAGGGAAACGTGAAGACTGAGGAGAGTCAGGGATTGTCCTAGGGCGGCGATGGGAAAGGCGGTTGGTGGGCAGCGAGTGATCCATCATGGCCACCCTTCACCCGCGATAGTGTTCTTTATGCTTCTGACGCTGGTAGCTTCCAAAAGGATTCATTTCTAAATCACGCATATGTGTATGGGTCTGTGTGTGTGTGTGTGCGCGTGCACATGTGTACTTGCACACGAGTGTATTGGTCAGAAGAGAGTGTCAGGCTCCCTGGAGTTGGAGTCACAGACAATTCTGAGGCATTAGCATGGGTGCTGGGGACAGAAATCGCTTCCTCTGTCCAAGAGCAGTATACACACACTTAACTGCTGAGCCGTCTCTCCAGCCCCTAATCATGGTGGTTTTTTTTTTTAAACTTATTTTTATTTTATGTTCATTGGTGTTTTGCCTGCATACACGTCTGTGAGAATGTCAGATTCTCTGCAACTGGAGTTACAGACAGTTGTGAGCTGCCATGTGGGTGCTGGGAATTGAACCTGGATCCTCTGGAAGAGCAGCCGGTGCTCTTAACCTCTGAGCCATCTCTCCAGCCCCTCACGGTGTTTTTTTAAAGGGAAGAAAAGCAAGTAGACTCGATGGTGACTTACCTGCAGCTTTTGTTCTTTCTTTTTGGAGTACTGGAGAGCAGACTCAAGATCTCATTCATGCTAAGTGAGCGTTCCATCTCCGAACTATGTCCCGGCTTTGCTGCCACGTGTGAGACTCTGGGTTGGTTTGTTTGTTCTTGTTTTTTGTTTGTTTGTTTGTTTTTCATTTCCTTTTTCAAGACAGGATTTCTCTGGGTTGCTTTGGTGCTGTCCTGGAACTAGCTCTTGTAGACCAGGCTGGCCTCGAACTCACAGAGATCTGCCTGGCTCTGCCTCCCGAGTACTGGGTTTAAAGTTGTCCGCTACCACCACCAGGCCCAAACTCTGGGTTTACTTCCAAGAACCTCAGAAAGAACTTAGTGTTTGTTTTGAGAGACAGTGTCTTAGCCTGGCAGTGGTGGCATAAGATGTTATTTATTTTATTTTATTCTCTCCCCTCCCCCCCCATATTACATAGGGTTTCTCTATGTAATAGCCCTAGCTGGCCTGGAACTTGCTCTGTAGACCAGGGTGGCCTCGAATTTACAGAGATCCACCTGCCTTTGCTTCCCAAGTGCTAGGATTAAAGGAGCGTGCCACCACTGCCTGGTAGCACAAAACATTAATTCCAGCATTTAGAGATTAAAACATATTTCATGTGCATTGCTGTTTTGTCTGCAAAGTCCGGTTCTTCTGGAAGAGCAGCCAGTGCTCTTAACCGCTGAGCCATCTCTCCAGCTCTCCAAGAAGAATTTTTTTTTTAAATTTATTTACTTATTATGTATACAATATTCCGTCTGCATGTATGCCTGCAGGCCAGAAGAGGGCACCAGACTTCATTACAGATGGTTGTGAGCCACCATGTGATTGCTGGGAATTGAACTCAGGACCTTTGGAAGAGCAGGCAATACTCTTACCACTGAGCCATCTCTCCAGCCCCCCAAGAAGAATTCTTTAAACCTGGAAATCTCTCATTCTTGGGGCTTTCTCTCACTTCTCTTTCTCGTTTTTCTGTGGTAATTACTAACAAAGCCTGCTTCTGCTTTTGTATAAACATTGGGAGGGAGCGCTGGAGAGATGGCTCAGTGGTTAAGAGCACTTGCTGTTCTTACAGAGGACCCAGATTGGGTTCTTAGCTCCTACATGGTGGCTCACAATTGCCTGTAACTCCAGTTCCAGGGGATCTGACACCCTCTTCTGACATCTGTGGGCACCAGACACACACCTGGCACAAGCCACGCATGATGGCAAAAAACATAAAATAAAATAAATAAATCTAAATAGAATTTATTTGTATTTTATGTGCATAGGTGCATGCATGTCTGAACCCCTGGAAGTAGAATTACTGACAGGTGTAAGCTGCCATGTGGGTGCTTGGACCTGAACCTGGGTCCTCTGAAAGAGAAGCTAGGGCTTTTAACCACTGGGCCATCATTCTAGCCCTTGAATTTTTTTTAAAAGTAAAGCTGAATGTGGTAGTTACATGCCTGTAATACTAGCACTTGGAAGACTGAGGCAGGAGATCGTGGCTCATCATGGTTCAGAACAGCCTGAGCTACAAACTCCATCTCAAAAATAATAAAACAAATAAATACAAAATGATAAAAAAGAAATAAAAAATAAAAAGAATCTAAAAACAGAAGAGGCAGGAAAAGCCTCCAGGAGTCCAGTGGTTCTCAGTGTCGCCATCCTCTAAAGCCTCGCTCAACCTGCAGGAGCCTCCCTCCCTCTGCCTTCTGTGACCTCCTCCCTCCTCTCTCCTGTCCTCTTCTCCTCCTTCCCTCCCCTTCACTCTCTCCTCCCCCTCTCTTCTTTTCCCCTTCTCCTCTCCTCCCCTGCTCTCCTCTTATCCCCCTTCCTTCCTTTCCTCCTCTCCTCTCCTCCTGTCCCCCTCCCCTCCTTCCTTCCTCTCCTCTCTTCCCCTCATCCCCTCCCTCCCTCCCTCTCCTCTCCCTCCTCTCCTCTCATCTCCCCATTCCACCTCTCCTCCTCGACCCTTCCTTCCTCCATCCTTTCCTGATGATTCCCCTCCCCCCGCCGTGTCCCATGATCCTTGTTGAGAGGCTGTTCACAGCATCTGTCTGTTAATATGAAAAGATCCAAGCCATTATGGAAAACAGTTAAGAGACAGTAGCTAGCCTCTCACAGCCAGGGTTCCCAGAAGCTGCATAAGCGCTCTGTTTCTCCATTTGCACATTTTCAACCACAGGGAAGTCTGTTCCCATCCCATCTTATTTCCTAAAACAGGAGGCGGGTATTAGGAGAAATTGTGTCTTGTTTTGTTTTTAACATAGGGTCTCGTGTTGTCTGTCTATACCGGCTTTGAGCTTTGTAACCCAGGATGACCCGTGCTCCTGTCCTCCCAAGTGCTGAGGCTATGGGTGTCCTAGGGAGGTAGGTTTCAGCTCTGTATCACTAGAAAGGTCCAGGCAGAGGACTGAAGGGTACCTGGGGTGGGCAGGGCTATATATCTTCTTCCTCAGACCCAAGGGTAAGGATGTGTCCCTCCTGCGACACCACAAACTACATGAGGAGCTGCGGCACCCTGTTTGGACTTGGTGTACAGTGTGGGAGAGATCTGGGCGCATCACAGCTGGGCACGTGGGACAGTTTTTATCCATTCAACATCTTCCTGGCTTCAAGTAGTGGTACACACCTGTTATCCCAGAACCTGGGAGGAAAAGGCAGCAAGAGTGGCAGGTGCTCAGAGGCGCCATCCTTGGGTACACAGTGAGCTCAAGGTCAGCCTGGGCTACATGAAATCTGCCTAGCAACCCAAAACAAGGCAGAGGATGCAGCTCACTTGGTAGACTGCTTGTCTCAAAGGCAAGAAGCCTGGACTTCGAGCTTTAGTACCCAATAAAGTGAGCGTGGTGACCACACACACTGGGATATAGAGGCAGGAAGAGCCAAAGTTCAGGTCATCCTCAGTTACAGAGTAAGTTTGAGCACAATTTGTGCTACGTGAGACACACCCACACATACATGCACATACCACAGCACACACACACCAAGCAGCACCCACATATACTACACAGACACCACACCACACACAGACACACACACATGCACATACACCACACACACATCCCATACACCCCCACACTCACACTATATCACACAAACATTACACAAACACATCATACCACATACATGCACACACCATACATATGCACATACCACACACACACACGGACATACCACATACATACCACACACTACACCCACACACCATAGCACACACATATACCTCACTACATCACACCATACCACACACACACCACACCACACACATGTGCACACACACACACATATACACACCTAAGTCTTCTGGGTATCAGATTATCAAGTCTTGAATTTAGACATGCACCATGAGACCAAAGTAGGGATTGTCCTGGGTGATTTTTTTGTCAACTTGACCCAAGCTAGAGTTACCTAGACCCCTTACTTGAGGACACACCTCCATCAGATTGCCGGTTTGTGGTGCATTGTTTGGACTTATGATTGACGTGGGTGGGTCCAGGCTTTAGGGTGGGGGTAGTGGGGACCCCAGGCAGGTGGTCCTGAGTTGCATAAGAAAGCAAGTTGAGCCGGTGGTGGCGCTCACCTTTAATCTAGGCACTCCGGAGACAGAGGCAGGTAAGTTCTGCTCTGTGAGTTCAGGGCCAGCCTGGTCTACAGAGTGAGTTCCAGGACAGCCAAGACTACACAGGCGGACTGAGGGAGAGAGAAGAGAGAGAAAGAGCTGAGAAGCCATTAGGAGCAAGCAGGCCAGTAAACTGTGTTCCTCTGTGGTCTCTGTATCAATCTCAGCCTCCGGCCAGGAGTTGCAGCTGTTGATGGAGTGTGATCCCAGAGCTGTAGGCTGAAATCATCCCTTTCCTCCCCAAGTTGCTTTTGGTCATGGTGTTTTATCACAACAGTAGAAACTTTAACTAAGAAAGGATTCAATTTTAGGCATGAGGAGCAACGTCAAGGGGATTAAGTCCTTACCTAAGAATTCCCAAGGCGTTAGTGAACACAGCTGGGCCACAACCAACAAGGCTTGCGGGGCGTGACCGCAGGGGCGTGACCTGTGCTGGGCGTGGCTTCCGGGCTCTCCACTGCCGAGCTGCGGTCTCGTCTGAGCGCTAGCCCTACGACCATGGAGCCGGTGCCGGTGCCGCTGCAGGACTTCGCGAGCCACCTGGACCCCGCCTCCCTTCCGCGCGTGCTGCGGGTCTGCTCCGGCGTCTACTTTGAGGGTAAACGGGCCCTGGGGGGGAAGCAGCCAGGCAAGGTGGATCATGTCTGTAATTCCAACACTGAGGAGCTGAGGCAGGAGGATTGGCACGAGTTCGAGACTACTTGCCTATCTAGTGAGTTCCAGGTCAGTCTGGTACAGAGTGAGACCCTGAGGAAGTTGGGGTTTGAATTCCGACGCTGCCTCTTGCCCAGGCTTTATGAGTTCGCACCAAAAACCATCTCCCTGCACCTCAGGTTTTTGTCCCGTGGGTGAGGTAGCACAGGAACTGGGTGGCAGCGAGGCAAGGACAACCTGAACAGCCTAGGAAATTCTGCCTCAAACAACAAGAACAATTATAACAATAGATAGATAAATAAGTAGAGATCACTGATCCACTATACTAGACTGCTAGACTTGCTTTTTTAATTTTTAACTTTATTTTATTTTTTTTGAGAGAGAGAGAGAGAGAGAGAGAGAGAGAGAGAGAGAGAGAGAGAGATTTTTGTGTCATAGCCCAAGCTGGCCTCAACCTTGCAGGGATCCTTTTGCTTCTGAATGCAATCGCCATACCTGACTTGCTGTTGCTCCTTTTTCTTCTCTCTCCTCCCCCGCCCTTCCCCCTTTTCTCATCTTCTCTCCCTTTCTGCAGGGATCAACCCCATGCTCTGAGTTCCAACCACTGAGATACATCCCAGTTCCTATAAGCACCAGACCAGCCCTCCCACTGGGCTCTACTACGCTCCTAGCCTTCTGTCTCCCTGGCCCTCTGCCCACTAGATGGTCGGATCATTTTATTTCTCAGCTTGAATGGTCCTTCCTCCAGGAAGCCTTCCTGCTTTGCCTTGCTCACTTGCTTCTTGCCCACAGCTTTCCTGGTTCACAGCAGAGAAGAGTCAGGCACGTCAGGGACACAGTCACCAGTTATGGCTCAAAACAGCAAGTGGCCGGGGACTGACCACTTGGGTAGTGGGAAGAGGAGAAGGGATGTACTGGACAGAGACCTGCTTGGCTGTTCTGTGGAGGGAGGAACTGCAGCCCTCAGTGAAAAGAGGGAGACAGAGCAGAGAGTGGAGGGGGATGCCGGGATGCAGGTAGAACAAGCCTACTTCATTCTGCTCTCCAGAGTGAGGGGACCCCTGGGTCTGCCACAGCAGCTGCCAGCAAAGTGTTCTGATGGCCAAGCGGATTCTAGACTTCACAGTGGGTCCCTCGGGTCCCCTGGAATCTGATGGGTCCTGAAGCAGTCGTCTGGGGTCAGTTTGTCCTTTCCCCAGCCCGGAACATCCTCCCAGCATCCCTTGCTCACCTCTGACGCAATACTTGAGTTTCCTCATTTGGTCTGCCCTGGGAAGTGGTGGCAAGTGACACAAGTTGGGGTGATGTGACTGGGGACATGTCACAGGTCGTGGGTACGTAAACAAGATTACGTGGACGGTAGATGGCCGCAGGGGCAGGGCAGGGCAGGGCAGTGTGGTGGAGGAGCCGACCATGTGGTTAGGCATCCCAGATTTGGAGGGAAATACCTGGACTTAACACCCCAGGTTCTACCTCCTGCTGCCCTTCCCTCCCAATTCCACGTTCCCGTGATGTTGGACATGGAACCCGGTTGTATAACCTAGACGGTATCTAGCACGAGCTAACAGCCTTCGTCCTTGTTCTGGTTTAAGACACGCTCTTCCTGTGTAACTCAGACTTCTCCTGCTTAAATTTCCTGAATGGTGTGGCTACAGATGGATTTCGTCACAGCCGACCTTGGGAACTTGTTTTCACATTTATTTATGTACTTATTTGTTTATTGTGTGTAGGGAGCACGTGCATGCCACAGTTTCCGTGTGAAGGTCAGAGGACAACTTTCGGGAGTCAATTCTCTCTTCCACCACGTGGGACTTGGGGATGAAAGTCTTTTCCTGCCGGTGTCTTGCTGGTCCCTTTTTGATATTTTTGAGCAAGGGTTTCCTGTACCCCACGCTGGCCTAGAACTCCCTCTTTAGCCAAGTTCTTGGTCTTCCTCTTTACGGATCATTTGGAGGCGCTGACACCCCTTCTCTGAGCCGTCATTTTTAGGAAAGAGAAACTGCTCTCTCACTATTTTTGTAGCTGAGGGAAATTGCTGACCCCTGTTCCCCTAAGGGCAGTCATGCATCTTCAGGGCAGTGAAGCATCAGCAGCAGTTTGTGCAGCACCAGGTATATATAACTCCGCAGCTAACGCAGGGCCAGGTATATATAGTGTCCTCTGCCGGAAGGTCCACGCCCTGACGTTGTGACAGCTGTGGGTGTTTTGCTGAGGACGTTTTGGTGAGGTTCGCACCAGCTTCTCACGGCCACATGAGCAGCCTTGTTAGGACTATCCCGGGAGAAGGGCTGTCAGGTGGCCTCAAGGCCTTGGCACCACAGTTTCCCATCGCCTGCCAGCCGGATGGGGACCCTGCACAAGCTGCCCTGTGAGCTCTTTCGGGTGTATCTTCCATCCTCCAGTGTTCTCCAGGGCGTTAACCCTTTGCATCAGGCAAGTGGGCTGCTGAACTCGGAGGTGCTCAGACTCCACCTATTCTCACTGGGCTGGTGAGCTGGCTGGTGTGTGTGAGGGTGGTCACTGCCAGCCCTGCCAGCCTGAATTCAATCTGCAGCTCTCGCAGGGTGGAGAGAACTGGTTCACAAGAGTGGCCCTGATTTCTACACCCATGCTGTGGAATGTACTCAAGATGAACGTGACTGAAACAAACCAAAAAGTTAAAAGCAGTTCATCTGGGCTGGGGACATGGCTCAGTCGGTAGGGTGCTCACCTATCGTACGTGAACCCCTCAGTTTGATCCCTAGTGCTGCGAAGAACTTGGCATGGTGGCACACCTCCTGTCCTTCAAATACTCGGGAGGCAGAGGCAGGAGGGTCAGAAGTGCCACGTCGTCCTTGATATAGAGAGTTCCAGGCCAGCATGAACTACGGGAGAGCCAGTTTCCATAATTAATAAGTAAACAAATAATTCAAGCAAGCAAAGCAAGCATGCAACTCACTCATCTGAAGTCGAAAGCGGGGTGCTGGAAGAACGAGGTACCCACCTGGCCCTCTGTATCTACCTAGAGCCTCGCTACCCTGAGCCTGGTTTTGTAACTGTCAAGGGGAGTTGGGGTTCACAGGGTTGTTTACTGCTTCATTGGTAGAACACACCCTCAGGGGCTGCAGTGATGTTGAAAATGGACCAGCACTGATCACACTCACGTTAGGAGGTTTGAATTGGGAGAAAGGGCGGGCACCATGAGGGCCACCTCCCATGGCCAGTGTAGACGGGGTAAGCTGCGTGAGGATGGCCGGCCGAGCCAGGTGCCCTTTAGCAGGGAAAGACAAGGAAGAAAACAGCAGACTGCAGCTGGGGGTGAATGAAGTACTTACGTATGCATGGAACCCCGGCTTCAGTCCCCAGAACTATGAGAGAGAGAGAGAGAGAGAGAGAGAGAGAGAGAGAGAGAGAGAGAGAGAGAGAGAGAGACTCAAGGCAGCAGGGACAACCAAGCAGAGTTTAAGGAACAGATCACAGATCACCCAGGGCTCATCCTTGGCCAGACATATAAACCGAGTCTGTGTCTCCACAGGTTCTGTCTATGAGCTTTCTGGGAATGAGTGCTGCCTCTCCACAGGGGACCTGGTCAAGGTCACCCATGTTCACCTCCAGAAGGTGGTCTGTGAAAACTCAGAGACGGGTCAGGCCTTGGAGCTCAACCCCAACTTCTCAGGTAAGGAGTGCACCTCTGCCTCCCCACCTGCCCTGGCATCCGCTAGGCCTCTCTTCAGCCACTTGTGGGTGGGTTTGCCACACCCAGCATTTCCGCCCCTCTGGCTTTGCATAGCAGAATGGCTTGTCTATTGTTCCATAGCTGCAAGGCCAGGGGGCGCATTCAGGGGGCATCCTTGAGGATGCCCTGCGCCTGGCACATCCCTGCCCTCTTCTCATCACGTCTGCCTCCAGACCTCCAGGCTTTGGTCTCCGTTTGCTCACACGTCTTCATCAGATATCAACCGACACCAATGTGTGCCCAGGCCCTCTGGGGAGCTGGGTGTGTGGACTCAGGATGAGCTAGGCCCTTCTGGGGTAGCAGGGAGAGAGGGCAAGGGTCCATGAAGCAGGCACCAACATGGGGGGGGGCTGGCCTCCAAGGTCTGCAGATCCAAGAGCAAGAGGTGGTCCCCAGATGAGGGAGTGTGGCATTCGGTGCTTAAGAAATTACAAGGGAAACAGCTGTGGCGAGCCTGGATTCTAGCACGGGGAGGCAGACTGCCCAGCAGGAATTCAAGGCCAACCTTAGCTACATATCGAGTCAGTGTAGGATGCATGAGACGCAGTACATGAAGTCCTGGGTCCTATCCCAGCACTATGTAAACAAACTGTGGTGTGGTGGCCCATGCCTGTAATCCCAGAATTTAGACAGCAGAGGCAGGAGGAGCCGAAGGAGGTCTCATGCCTGGGAAACGATCAGCAGCTGACGCTTGCTGCCAAGCCTGGTGATTCGAGTTCAATTCCCGGAACCTGCCTGATAGGAGGAGAGAGTGACTCCTACAAGGAGGCCTCATCGGACCTCCACACAGGTGCTGTAGCGTGCACATGCGTGCATACATATACTAGGTACATGTGATATCTTTATTTTTTTTTTTGAGACAAAGTCTCACTGCATAACCCTGGTTGGCCTGGAACTCCCATGTAGATCAGACTGGCCTCAAAGTCATAGTGATCTACCTCCCTTTGCCTCCTGAGTATTGGGACTAAAGGCTTAAATATACCCTTCTAAAAAGAAAGATTTATTTATTTATTTTGTATACAACATTCTGCCTCCATGTATGCCCACGCGCCAGAAGAGGGCGCCAGATCTCATTACAGATGGTTGTGAGCCACAATGTAGTTGCTGGGAATTGAACTCAGAACCTCTGGAAAAGCAGCCAGTGCTCTTAACCTCTGAGTCGTCTCTCCAGCCCCAAAAGTACCCTTTTTTGATTTTTTTTTTTAAAGTAAAGATCCCTTTGAATTTCAAGGCCAGACTGAGATCCATGAGACCCTGCCTCAAAATCAAGCAAACCAGCCAAGCAAGCAGAAAAAGTAACTCCCAAGGGGTTCATTATTACGGAACAGAAGGTTTGCTGTCTGTGGCTGGGAGCATCCTGGGTGGAAACCATGATGCCACCGGCCTCAGCTTCCTTCTCTATTATGAGCCCTTGGACTTGATGTGGGGAGGTCACACGCGTATATATATAGAGTAGAGGAGTGGCTGGCACTGAGCAGGTGCATCCTGAAGGCACACAGGCACCTACACACACACACACACACACACACACACACACACACACACACACATGCTTACCGCAGTGGCGGGAGGTGAGCAGAAGTGGATCCTCTGGGTTGGACTGACTGACACACTTTCTCTTGTGAAAGTGCTGAGGAGCCTGGGGCTTTGCAGAGATTCAAATGATGACTCTCCTGTGGTTTGAGGGCTCTTTCTTCTTTCTTTGTTTCTTGGGTTTTTTGTTTGTTTGTTTCTTTCTTTCTCTATCTATCTATCTATCTATCTATCTTATCTTTCTTTCTTTTTTCCTTCCTTCCTTCCTTCCTTCCTTCCTTCCTTCCTTCCTTCCTTCCTTCCTTCCTTCCTTCCTTCCTTCCCTTTCCTTTCCCTTTCTTTCTATTTTACTTTACTTTACTTTTTGAGACAGGGTTTCTCTGTGTAGCCCTGACTGTCCTGGAACTCACTCTGTAGACCAGGCTGGCCTCGAACTCACAGAGATCCACCTGCCTCTGCCTCCTAAGTGCTGGGATTAAAGGCGTGCACCACCACACTAGGCCATATGGCCATTTTTTTTTTTTTTTTTGAGACAGGGTCTCACTATGTCGTCCTAGCTATTGGCTATGTAGACCAGGCTGGTCTTGAACTCATAGAGATCCACCGGCTTCTACCTCCTGAGAACAGGCATTAAAGGCATGCTTTAAGAATCCAGGCCAACACATATTTTTAGCACTGGGGTTTAGCTCAGGGCCTTTCACATGCTAAGCAAGCACTCGGTCACTGAACTACATCCGTGTCCAAGACCAGTATTTCTGTAGAATGTCATTCAGTCCAGACTCCGTGATATTTTCTTGATTAGATTTGAGTGGCGAGATTGGGACAGAAAACAACTGCTCCCAGAAGTCGGGTGATGTACCAGCCTGGTGGCAGGATGTCTGGGGACCGCAGGAGTGGTGGGTGGTCCTGGCAGACTAACTGAGGGGTGGGTGTCAGAGAGCACCTGGACCAGTAGCTCCTGGGGCTCTAATTTGGGAGAAAGAGACAATGGTGATGCCTCGGGATGGGGAGACAGACCGGATGTGTGGGCTTGCAGCTACAGGGGAGGTGTCTGGAGGGAAAAGGGATAGGTTGGCCAAGTTGGAGACAGAGAGAGGTCAGAAAAGTGGGAGAGCAAGGAAGGTGTGTGTGTGTGTGTGTGTGTGTGTGTGTGTGTGTGTGTGTTAGAGAATGTGCCCTTACTCTCTTCTGTGTCTCTCGTGACATCTGTGTGTCATTCCTGTTTCTGATTATCTGTTCACACGCTGTCCTCCAGCCTCCATCCACAGACCTTTGGTCTGGATGTCCAGATGCAGCCCCAGGAGGGATGCTGGCTGGGTTGCCTGCAGAGCCTGCCCCAGCCATGGCCTGCCCACCCCCCATTCTTCCCCTCTCTGCTGACTCCTGTAGGCCTCTTCAGTGCACTCAGCAGCCTGCAGAGCTACAGGACCCTGGAGGAGCTCACCTCTGCCGTGCCCCCGAGCGCCACACAGTGGCCCATTCACTTCAAGTCAACTGAAAGAATTGTCACGGAGGCCGGGGTGGTGCCTGTGGACCAACCCCTCAGGCTTGAGGCTGTGGAAGTACACCATGGGACCCGCTATGCACGCTGTGTCCAGGACTCAAAGACCCAGGAGGTCGTCCTCTATCTGCCCCTTTCCCAGACGGGACCCTTCCGCAGATGCAAGCCTGGTGCCCCACAAACCCTGCTCCAAGTCCTGCAGGACCCAGCTATGAAGGACCTCCTGTTTACCTGCCCCAGCCTACCCTGGCGCTCTGTGGTCCTGAGGCCCCAGTATGTGTTGCAAGCCGTGATGCACAGTGAGTCCCCTGGGCAGTGGGGGGCGGAATGGCGGGGAGCTGCACAGTGCACAGTTAGTCTGGGGGCGCCAGCTGGCTCATCCAGTGTCCGCCATGTCACAGAATACAGATGCCCAACGAAACAGGAAATGTGGTGTAAGAGACAGGAAAACAGGATAAACACACCCAAGGTCCCACATGCTTTACAGGGTCGGCCAACGTTAGCTTCCACACTAGCTAGGGCTGTGGAGATGCTGTCTCAAAACTGAAAAATGAAACAACTGATTAATTAAAAGGGGGCAGCAAGGTAGCTCAGTGTATAAAAGAATTTGCTGTGAAAATTGTCCTCTGACCTCCATGTTCCCTTCAGCACACACACACACACACGCGCACACACACACTCACACTCGCACACGCATGCACGCACACACACCAATAATAAAATGATCTGGTTTTTAGAGAGCACAAGTGGGATAGTGAGATGTCTCGGCAATTAAAGATGCTCTGCCACCATCAAGTGCCAGTTCCATCCCTGGGACCGGCATGGTGGAAGGAGAGACCTGACTTCCGCAAGTTGTCCTTTGACCTCTACACTCACACCATGGCATGAACGCATACATATGCAGGTGGACAGACAGACAGACACACACACACACACACACACATAAATAAGTGAATAAAAAACAAAATCAAGCCGGGCGATGGTGGCGCACGCCTTTAATCCCAGCACTCGGGAGGCTGAGGCAGGCGGATCTCTGTGAGTTCGAGACCAGCCTGGTCTACAGAGCTAGTTCCAGGACAGGCTCCAAAGCCACAGAGAAACCCTGTCTC